TAGTATTTCAAATTCACCTCGAGTATTTGTGACATGCTTGCGATAATAAATTGAATGGTGTCATCTGATATTCGAAGAAACTTAGTTTGGATATTTTAATGGATACTACATTCTAGATACTTCTCTACGCTTCTATTTCATTACTGAATTATTTTACTGAGTAATGACTCTCACCTGAAAACAATTGTTTTGCAAAATAATTGCATAATCCAAGATAGTGTATCATCAATCCAGCTTCTTTCATTTATATACTTCATTTTTCTAATAGACAGTCCATCATTATGTATTAGTGATTTCCGTTGTGCATATGACTTCTGTTTCTCCGTTAACCATATTTTATTCCTATACAAATTACCACCCCCAACAGCCGAAACTTGTGCAGGATTCGGATTAATGAGGTCTAAATTTTTAACGTGTAATTCGTAGAACGGATCAGACAAAACAGTGAAGGAACACGCATTCATAATAGTGGTGATTTTCACTAACAAAGCTAAAAACTATTTCAAAGCAAGATAACATTAGCCATTAAGTAAAACTGGAACCTATGGTAGAAAAATATTCCAATGAAAGCAGATTTTCACAAACTACAACCATTTTTCCCAACGCGCATTTCTGCTAACCAAATTGGTATCATCAAGAGACGACTGGAACTGTTTTGATTATCTCTTAATAATTCTAACTCGGTTAGCGAAACACGCATCTAGAAAAGGTACTATTTCGGCTTTTGGGAAAAGTGTTTTCATCACAAAAAAAACTGTAGTGAAATCTAAAGAGATTATTCTAAAATGGGCATTCTACTTTATGAAAAGATTTAGGTGAGTCTTGTTACAGAAGAAGTTTATGAACGAGGATAAAATTAAAAACATACACAAAACAAAACTGAGAATGGATAAAAATATTCTACTCATCCAGAACTGCTACAAAAAGATCTTCCTAATGAAGAATGTACCTACTGCATATCTTCACTGAGGTTCATCATATTTCATATCGATTAACTAACCAGCAGCAGAATATCAATTTCCTTCAAACTTTCCAATATCTTGAAACTTTCCTTGACATCTTTGATATCATTTTCGGTGACTTTATAGCGTCAGTCATAAATGTTAATGAAAGTCCTGCCTACTGCTAACCTGCTCGTAGAGATGATTCTGAAACAAAAAAAAAACATAATTACCATGCCCATCTTTTTCAACTTTCAATTCAATCAACAGGTAACAACAAATTACATATTATGTGCTATGGTTAACACAGATTTTCACAGGAAGGATACAAATACTGATGAATGTGCCAAACACGGATCAACTCTATAGAGGCCCTGAACCAGCTGTGAGGGTACCAAACTCTTTGATAAGGAACTAGATTGGGTTATTGGTCTAAAAAGAAATAGAGTTCTGGAAAAATATATTCGGAACATGAACACATACAAAAACTTTTTTAACGGTACTGTTTGAGAAAAACAATTACGGGTTACTCCTCTGGGAGGACACCCAAACAAAGTAGGATTGTGCAACAAAGGCCTTAGCTTTCGGCATGTAACAAAGGAAGAGAGGCCACTTGGAGGCAAACAATTTATTGATAACCCAAAGTATGTCCAGAAGAAAAAAAAACATCGAACGAAGGACCTGTGCAAACTAGTACAGAGAACAAGATTGTTGGAATAGGTGTCTTGAAATATTTGGTAAAAAACGTAAAGCACATAAGGCTACAATGTTTTTTAGAAACTAAAAAAAAATGATTCGAAAGTAGCCAAAAAAGAATACAATAAAGGCATTGATTAGAGTGATTTACGAAGATCATTAACTGGATATATTTGAGGAAATCCGGAGAGCCAACAACATACACAAACAAACACTCAAACCTACCACCCACCAAATTTAAGGTGAATTTATGCAATATAAACTTTCACCCTCATTTCCAATTCAACTTGCACTATGAAAGATGAATTATTCATTTTCAGTAGACCAATATATGCATCAAAACCATGAAAATGTGAATGTGGTGTGATGAATATTACCATTTTCGGGAAAGAAAGTTTTTGGCTTTCTACTAATCCATCTCGATACAAAAAATAGATGAGGGAATCTTCCAAAGAAAGGAAGTAAGTAATCAATTTGAAAATAAGTAACTCTATACATGGATGTGTAGATCATGCAAAGAAGGAACTTTCAGACACAAACTGGAAGAAAAAGCCCCCTCGAAACAACTATACTTTCATATAAACATTAAATTACATGAAAGAAAAAAATTATTTCGAAACAAATACTTCTATATGAACACTGAATTATACAGAAGATACTTTTCTTTACTCAGTTTGTATTTCAAACATTCCTTGTGAAATAAAATCAGATATCATTCACAGGAGTGCTACATTAAATGAATGGTAACAAATTGCACTTACATGGAACACTGTCATCCTCACTGGTATACATCGATGTAGTAGAAAGCCAAAAACTTTCTTTCCCAAAAATTAATCACTCCTAAAAATATAACCCCTTCAATTCAAATTACCATTTTCATTCCGGAAGTCAACTATTCGTAGTGAAAGTGTAAATTGCTTTTGCACAAACATACTCTGTCAGTTTTGTCTGTATTATTTATCAGCAAATAGAACACTGTCAAAATTAAAAAACTACATACATTTGTTTATGAATTTTATTGTACAAGACGTTAACAATCTGCAAAATTCAACATTTGTTGGAGGTAGATGTATAACTAAACAAGGTTAGGTTAACTTTCTAGTTTATGATTTTATGCATGCATAGTTTAGGGAAAAAAAAAGAGCCGCATGAAACATCTATTATATCATAAGGAAAATTTCATATGACATGTAGGATCGTCATATTAAAAGATTAATGATGAGAAATCAATATAATGTCACATAGGTACTAATGAGATTATTGATGGTCAATTGTGATGAAATAATTCATACAAAGGGTGAGTTTAAAAATGAAGCTAAGAATATACATAATATGAAGGATCCTCATATTGAAATAGGCTGCTTCATACCAAAACACAGTATGTGAAAATTTGATAATTTGTTAAAGAACCAGTGCAATGCTATATCTCTGGTACAAATTACATGATGAATGGACCAGCTCTGAAGTTACGTCCAAACATGCTAACTGTTTCAGCATGGAGCAGCTGAAATGAACTGAAATTAAATGAGTCATTTGAAATTTGTACAATTATTCATAATATGTGATATCTCCATTCGAATGACCTGCAGCTTATAATTATTATTGAATTCTACAAAGTTAGGAGAGTTTTTTTTGTCGTCAATCAATATTGATGCCACAGGCTATTTTTGTTTTTATCAATTTTCTCAAAGTAGTATTTATCTCTCTTCTTTTTCAGTAAATAAGTAACTTCATTGCTTATCATTTTGTGAGTCTTTGAAATCTTGCTTTATCATGCTGTTTAATTTTATTATGCACCTCCTGATCAAACAATGGAATGGTATCAACTGAATTGCATACTCAGAGGAGCAATATTGGACTTCCTCTTCAACCAGGACAGAGGACAGTTGTGCCGATAACAACCTCCCTCAAAGATGGCATGTGGATGTCATTGTAGGAGTGGAGTCAAAAATTGAGGTGTAGTTAAAATAAATAATGTCACAATCTCATAAATATAAAAGTAAAAGACAAATTGAGAGGACTGGCAGCCGCCTATACCAGTAACCAGGTTGGATGTCATAGAATTCGATGAGGTCATCAGTCCTATAAAAATTTTGAAAAATGTGAAGTGCATGTTTATGTGAAAGAAAAAATCAGAAGGTCTGCCGATGAGTTTTTTTTTTAACAGAAAAGTATAAAAAAGTAAATAGGGTGGCAGCACTGCATAAAGCAAGACCTATGTGCCCCTGACGAAGCTCCTGTTAATTATTAACAGGAGGAGCTTGGTCAAATGTGCCCGAGTGGGAAGCAATGACCATCAAAAATAGAGAAAGAGAGAGAGAGAGGAGCAATATTGTCAATTACTATTTGGCAGTTGGAGAAAATTTTCTTCTTAAAATATTTATGTATCAGAATCTGAATTCCAGTTACAAGTTAGTAACGAGTTAATAAGATTCCTAAGTTTTTTACTAATGTAGTTTTATAATTACTTTTGAATACACTTATGATAATCAGAGAGTGATCACTTACTTTTGGTGCGAGACAGACTTGAGCATATTAATGCCAATTTTTTTCCACCAGCATTCATTTAAGGTGAAAATATGTGGTGAATCTTTAAAAAGGACTCCATTCCATTACAAAAAAAAGGAAGAAATGTAGGAAAAAAAACAAGCCATAAACAAAAACAAAAATAAATGAAAGTATAATGCCAATCTTACCTTACAGTGGATAGTGAATATGGCGCTTCGAAGGAGTGCCCTAAGGACCAGCTTAGACATGTCTCATCCTTGTCGAAAGTTCATCAGCCATCGAAAATGGGTGTTGTTAGCTTTTTGACAGATGGCAATCAACATGATTTTGAAAAATACAGTCAGCTGGTGTACTACAAATTGCAAAACAGGATTATTGATCCAATACAATCATTCTCCCCAGAGGTTCCAGTTTTACCTTTTATAAATGATTACCTGATGTTTCAAAAGATTCAACTTTGCTATATACTAATTATGACAATGCCGAAAATATTTTGTAGTAGTAATTTGAATTTGTGTGGTTGTTTTCAATTCTGGATCAAGTCCTGATTTTGGTCATTAATAAACCTTGGCATTGAACAGTCCTGACTAGTTCCTATTAAAAAAAACTCTGGTAGATGGAGCTTCGATATAATAGCTTTGATACGGCAGTTGCAAGGGCATGATTCAAGTTATTTTCCATATATTTTTCTTCATAGTTTATAGCAGACATGATAATGTGGTGCTGCAAGTTTTACCTCAAGGTGTTACTTTGCATGACTATGCCTTAAAGCCATCTATACTTCGGTATTTTTGCTTTCTGTTGATTATTAAATTTTATTCTAATACACATTCTACTTCTAAACAATGATATATGAGATTAAAATAATTGAAATACTTCATAATGAGGTTTGAAGCAATTTGAAGTTAGTGACAACTGTCAGTGTCAATTCGACAACACTAGCACAGAAAATCACCTTCTCTTTCTTTGAATGGCCATTGCTTCCCACTCGGGCGCATTTGGTCAATTTCCTCCTGCCAACAGTTCACAGGAGTTTTCGTGCGGAGCGCAGCAGTCTTGCTCGAGGCAATGTTGCCACCACCTAATTTTTTCACAATTTTTTTGTTTATTTAAAAACATCGAAATTTTCTGAAGTCGCCCCCTCTTCGGAAGGCCTTTTGTTTTTTTTCACATACATGGCCCCCTTTACGTTGGTTATTCGAATCACCTCCGGCCCTCACTTCAAATTTGATACGTTCACTTTACACATATAGGTTACTTCAATGATGGAGGTTGAAGGTTTTTGATACTGGATATTTTTTGGTACATTTTGTGAATTATTCGTTTTATCATAACAATTCTACAAAAAAAAAAATACAAAGCATCCTACCACATGAAATTCACAACTCACACATCTATGATAACGTTGCACCAGGTGCATCTGTATCAGAAAAAATATTTGATGAAGAATTTGCTATTTGCAACTTCACAGAAATCAGTAAACTAATCACTTCTATTTTATACAAATCTCATATCTCACCTTTATTGAATTTCATCTCTCTATTTTACTTGAATCCACCGATGAGTCCACATCCACCGATTGATCCAATGGATTATTTTCTTGGTCGTAAACTCGTTTATGTCCAATCAATATATATCTGTTTAAAAATCTGTTTTAAAATATGTTTTTCTGTTAATCAGCTGTCGCATCTCTACGAACGACAACCCTGACTATGCTCCAGGTTCAGGAGAAAACATCTTGTCCCTTGCCTCTCATGGAGACCTACGACTTCGTAGGTACGTGTGGCAGATACTAATGCCTCGCAGAAAGCTGAAGTAAAACCAGCAGGCAGCTGTGCAACGTCTTCGATTTGAAAGAATCGTCGCAAGTTAATGTTTTCAATTTGTGCTTTTGCTACCATATCCGGCTATTCTGGATTTGTCAAATTTGAATGTCCAGGCATCAACTCCTCATTACTATTTAGTTATCCATTTGATATACAATGGAACGAAAAAGTTCAAAACAAAACAAATTTTAATATTTGTGATATACACTCTGATGGAAATTTTTCATCAGATTCCAAATTTTTCGTGGCAACTGGAGTGCTGGCAATGTTATATTCATTGGTGATCATATTTGTATATACTAAGCTAGATGAAGCTTATAAGAATAACAATAAGTTACCCCTTTATGTGAGTATAAGATTTCATACCATATATTCTCAAACTGATCAACTGATTTACAGGATTTTTTCATGACTGTTGTTTTTGGAGTTTTGTGGTTGTCAAGCAGTGCTGCATGGGCACATGCTTTATCTGGTTTGAAATCTGTCACTAGTGCAGTCACATGTAAAAGTTGCACTCCTTTAATTAGCAGCTTTTCTACGCTCAACATATCTGTGGTAAGAAGACCCCTCTTTTTTTTTGATTGATGCAACTAGTTTTCCTTTATTTTCAATGTTTTAATATTAATCCTTGTTTAATGACTTCTAATTAGTATATGCGAGCGCTTTCAATAGCAGACTGTGCTATCATCTTCATGGCTCTACTCAGTAAAGCTATGAGCCAGTAGTTGAGTTAAGCCATGAAGACGATGGCACAGAAACTGGAAATAACATAACTAATGGCATAACAGTTATTAGATATGTTCAAAGATTTTATGTAGTTTTTTCAATGTCAACAAAGTTGAAGAATGTTTTGAAATTATATGTAACAAATCTGACTTTTGTAAAGTCAAGTGAAACGAGATTAGAGAGCAAACTTAAAGGTGTAAAAACACTTTGTTAGTATATTAAGGGAGTTCATAGTGCTTTAGTTGAAGTAGTAGAAACAACTGATAATCCCAAAACAAAAACTGAAACTCAGATCACTTGCATATGAAATAAGCAGCTCTGAGTTTTTAATATAATGATATGATTTTTTCTGCAAATAATGTAAGCAAAAATCTATGTAGCATCACGATTACTTTAAGGATTGGATGTTTGAAGATGAAGGAGAATATAAACATATTTTAGAATCTGTATAGCAAAACTTTTGAAGTCTCAACATTTTTATTGTGATATAAATTGCATGGCACAGTCTCTTATGGAAAGGTTTGATGAATAAATGGCCTGTCATGAAACTTTTTGGATTCTCCTGCAATATAAAAGAATTAAACTTGATATAACAAGATAAACTATTGTGAAATTTCAAAGCTCTACAGGTCACTTTAAGTTTTCGAAATCAGAGAAAAATCAAAGAAAAATAACTGAAGAACTGAAGCTTCTTTGCGAACTCCTTTGTATTTTTGTCTGAAGTTGATGAAGACATTTTTGTGGATCTTGCTGGGAATTCTCACTCTCCACTGAAAAAAATTAATGTAATAAAGAACTGTATACAGATATAAAAAGGGCCAACTTCTTATCCACTCTAATAAGTTACTTGTGTGAATTCAAAGTATTTTTCACAATGCGCTGTTAATCAGTAACTTGTCGTATTTTAAATTTGGCTATCAAAAATGAGCTATCAATTGCCTATATATTTATCTAGATATGTCATGGAATCGGCCAATACTTGATGAACATCCATAACGTGTTCAAGAAACACATAGACAGGCGTCCCTCACTAAGCTATTGTATATCGAAACACGTGTTGCATTTTTGTAAAACTGTTCAGTGGAAATATCAATAGGTGTTTCTTGAATACTAATCTAGATGTTTCCCTTTGCTGTACGTGTATGAAGTTTTCCATTTCAATTTTTTTTTCTGATTGTGAAAGGTGACAATTCCGAGAAACAACCTTGGAAAAGCTGATTTTCTCCACGAAAAATTACTTAAGTTCAATATTTGATGAAGACACTCCTAAGATCATCCATGAGCCAAGAAAGGTGAACATCTTTGGCAATACTATTGATAGAAGCTCATACTATAGCCAAATGAGTTTTGATTGATGACTTCCCTAAAATTTATGCAAGAAAAATTAGGTTTGTTTAGGAAAACTATAAGTACAATGTACAAGTTATTGAATCAAATTACAGTTTTTGAAGTTATACTTCTTTTGGCGCGCTAGGGAAAAATGATGAGAGTAAATTCTTAAGATGCGCGCGCAGTCGAGCGCATTTGACCAGACTCTTCCTGTCCATAGTGAACAAAATCTTCGTTTAGGAGCGGAGCTGTCACCCTGAGTTTTCTCATTCACTTTTTCTTTTATAAAAACACTTAATTTTTTTACTGGTCGCCTCCTTCTCGGGACGCCTTCGGATGAAATTTATACATCTATTATCAAAATGACGACCTCGTCGAATCTGTTGACATCCAGCCTGGTTACTGGCGTAGGGGGCGCCAGTCCTCTCAATATGACTTTCACAAGTAACACAATGATACACAATATTTATGCAAGATGACCAGCCCAATCGAACCACTGAACTTAGTTCACTCTTTTTGAAATAGATTTTATGAGAATGGTTCTTATAGCTAGAAGTTAGCATATTTCAGGGATATTGTATGTGATAATATTAAATATTTTATTTTACCTAAATCTCAATCATGTGTTGTCAATATGCTTAGAGATTGAATAAATATTATTTTTCAAAAAATGTAAACTTTCACGGCCTTAGATAAATGTGTGAAAGCTACTTTCAGGTTTTTTTGCAGTGGTCTGCAGGTGTTATGCCTGAAGCTTCGTCTACTACTGCGGTAGAAGTTATCAAAGGCGATGTAACAGTTGCAGTGCTAGAGTTGTTGTTCCCGTTACGAACGCAGTAACTACAAGCTGGTATTTGATCCTGTTTTTGTATTACTATTAGTGAGCGTGGTTTGGATTTTCTCAATTGAATTACCTGACATACTTTACCTAACGACATTGCTGAGGAAATCGGTATAGAAACGTCGAGGATTTTAATGCGCGCAAAATCACCCAAGACCAACACAACACGCACGAAAGGCGCTTAAAAATCTCAATACAGATAAGAATATCTTGGTATTGCCGGAAGGAAATGCCACTGTCGTGACGAAAATGAAGGATTATAATGAGAAAATTTTCGCCTTACTCGATCCCGGAACAGCTGAAAGACTCAGTTGGGACCCTCCCTCGGGGATTTTGAGAAAAACGAATCTTTTTATCCGTTCATCAGGTCTTGGAGATAACGCGAAAAGGTAATACAAAAGTCCGAAACCTTTCCGCCGCGTCTATATGGCTTACCAAAAATTCATAAAGAGAATGTGCCACTTAGACCTGTCGTAAATGTGATAGGTTCACCAACTTATGAGCTGTACTTGATAACCCTTCTGCAGCGATTTATATAAAATACAGAGTTATTTATTAAGGAATCAAAACACTATATCGAAAAGAGTAGAGATATGAAGTTAGGCCCTGGAGACTTACTAGTGAGCTTCGATGTGGTCTCCTTATACAGTATGGTTCCGATCAAAAATTTCCAGCACATATAACCTCCCTCTTCGCTCATTGTTTATCATCAACTTATTTCCAGTGGGATGGTGTTTTTTACGAACAAATGGATGGTACCGTAATGGGCAGTCCATTAATTCCGGCGGTGGCAAACTTTTTCATGGAAAATTTCGAACAATGGGCCATGGAGCAAGCGGCCGTGAAGCCACGTCCTATAATAATATAAAAGCAGGGTCAAATTCACCATGGTAAAACGGAAACAACAACTCGAGCATCAACTGGGGCACTGTGACTGTTACCACATGGCCTTCGATAATGTCTACCTCACTAGTATGTGAAACGTCAGTCATAAAAACATGCAGACCACGGCCAAAAAACCCGGAAACTAGCTTTCACACAATTATTATTTTTATTATATAACTCATCATGTTTCAGTTTATTCACAAACGACCAACAAGGTGTTTTGAAAAATCATTTCAAATATTGGTAAATTAATGAAAGTAATTTTTTCAGATTTTTGGTTTTCTGAACTTCTTCTTGTGGGCAACATGTCTTTGGTTCATCTACAAAGAAACCTCTTTGTTCCAAGGAAATCAGCGACAAACAACAGATGGTGTTTGATTATCTATTTTTTTTACTTGTTGGTTTTTGCACTCTTTTGACTCTAATGAAAGTTTCATATTTTTTTTTCTTCTTATTATTCACCGTGTCATATTAATTGATGGAGAAATACTTGTTAACTTCGATTATACATTGTTTTCTGTAACATATCTTCGTTACATATGATCTTATCATAAATGGCTAATTTTGTTACCATATCCATTTAT